AAAAATAAACTGAACAGTTTTTGCCTCAGGGTCACATTGAAATTCTGCACCAAATTTAGAATAAAAATATAATTTTTTTTTTATTATTATTATTTTTTTAATTGTTTTTGGCCCGGCCGGGCAAGTGACCCCGGGCCACTCTGGTAGCCTAGCCTATCTGGCTTTTTCCGCCTTCGTCCATTCCGGATGTAACAGCTCCAAAAAAAAAAAAAAAGAGGTTTAAAAAAGAAGGGGGGGGGGGAAGGGAATTCACAAAAAACACGAAACAAATCATTGAAAAATGATGAACCCGCGCATTCAAAGCTAGTCTCGGGTTTAAGTGCAAAACAAAAGAAAACAAAAGAAGAAGAAGAAGAAGAACGAGAAGAAGAAAGGTCTTCCTGGCTTTTGCACCTAGCGCAACAGCTCTACGACATTAAAAAAAAAAAAAAATTGATGATAAACATACGGCCAAACTACGTACTGCAGTTCAGGGCCAGCCTTGGGTTAAACGGCGAGTTCACCCGAGGCGAGAGTACATCTCTCACCGGTTTACGTGTTACAAGGAGCATTTGGATTCGGGCCTGGGCCGGTAGCAAAAGCGCCAGGCTACTTTAAAAAGGCGCAGTCGCAGGCAGCTGCGGCCTTGGAAGGTAGCTTTGTCGACATAGGGCCTCGCTCCACTACTCACTAAATGTGGAAAATGAAAATGAATTTTCCACCAGTTCATGGATATATTCGCCGCCATCTTTTTTTGTCTTTGGTGCATGCGAAGAGGAGGAGCGAGGCCCTAAGGCTCGTGTGAAGTGGGATTTAAGTGCAAAAAGAAAGAGGGGGGAGAAAGGCCTACCTGGCTTTTTCCACCTTCGTCCATCCGGAACGCAACTGCTCCCTCATTCTCCTTGCTCTGCGACTCCAGAACAGCACAAATATTCCTACTATACTGGAGGACAGACTCCCACCTGGCAAACAAAAAAAAAAACAATAATAACAATTCCACCTGACATCAGTCATTCATCAAGGGAAAAAAAAAAGAAGTCCCACCTGGCATCAGTAGTTATGGATCCACCATACATACTTCCTGACCTCAGGCCCATCCGTGCACGCACGAAATTGAACCACACAGGGAATCGAGCCGGCGCTCTTGACCACCAGAGGTAAGTGTCTTAAAAATAATAATTAAGGGAAAAAAAAAAACAAGTCCCATCGGGGCCATGATCTGGCATCCATCATTCATCGAACAAACAACAAATCGCAAAATATATAAACCTGGATTAGAACTCAGAAGTGACACTATAACACCCACCAACTTTCTTCAAACCAGTTCAAGTGCCTAGTTGCACCACTCGCCATCCCCCACTAAGATTCCGAATGCATCGGACATATATCCCATCCAGATGCGTTCAAAATGTTGCCGTATGGCAAGTGGTGCAATCAAGCCCTACACCTGTGCGTTATAGCTCAGTTGGTACACCCATGATATAGTTGAAATACACGCCAAAGTTCGAATCCAGATACAAGCAGACGAACAGAATAAAAACCATTTTCAATTAGCTAGAGCCGGTCGGTTCAGCCATGATATCTCAAGGCCATCGCCCTTTAAAAAAAAAAAAAAAAAATAGAGGTGTGGATTTCAAGCTTCAAACCGGGTACAACAAAAAAAGAACTGGGTTAGAAGTTAGAACTACAGAGTTAGTACCAAA